TTCAATTTCTTCAACAAGAGATGCAATTATTGCTCCAGGTAAAAATTTTTTTTTGAATTTTACAATATTTATACTATCTCTTAAGGGTAGGGGAATCACGTGATAATTTAATATAAAATCCGGGGATCAAAAATTTGACTTTTCCGAAATCAATAATTGTCTTAAAGGCAAAGCTATGTGAGACACGTTCAAATAACTTCTGCATTATTTTATACATGTGTTCTGCTGTATAGTAGTTATTGAAAGTGTTTTTGAATAAAATTTTCTTTTAAAATTCTTCAAAAAACAAAACTCATCCCTAATTAGAGAAACTCATCCCGTATTAAAAGGAACTCATCCCATATTAACATATACTCATCCCTTAGTAACAAATATTCATTTCACATTTAAAATACTTAATACATAGTAAGACTCAATAAACATTTGTTAAAATTTCATTTATTTAGTAAAGTTACAATACAGTAGAAATTTTATTATTTCATAATGCTTCATATATATGTAAATAATAAATTATGTTTATTTTTGATGTAGCTTTCAAAATGAAGACTTGGTTTAAATCATTAGTAGAAATTATAGATCGTTCTCTTGACAAAATAAAAGTGTTTTTATTCGTGATGATTCATGTCAAATGAATGTAATGGAAATGCATAATGATTTAAATAGTCCATATATCTTGTGGTTAAAAGCTCCAAAAGACATGGATCCTGATCTTATAAATGAGGACAAGGTATGGATTCCATTACTTCCTGGTTATTCTATTTTAACAAAAAAGGGAAAATATATACGTTTGTCTATTGGCCTAAAAGATAACAAAGAATTGCAATATATATATGAAAATTTTGAGAATGATTTCACATTTGCCAATTCAAAGGAAATAAGGCATTATGACCATACGTTTAGAAATTTCAAGGATGAATTGAAAGTTTCAGAAAAAATATCTGTAACATCTTTGATTGGTTTTGATAATGTTGAAAATATTAAATACTTATGTAATAAAGTACTTGAGAAATATCCATTCTTGTCAAATTCACCAGCTCCAATTGATCCAGATGAAGAAGATAATGAAGATAATGCAGATGGAAGGTGACATAGATAATGAAAGAGAAGTTAATGATGAACATAACAATGAAAAAATTACAGATCCACAAATACTTGCAGCTTGTAAAACCAATGAAAGAATAAAAAAAAATTTGAAGCGTAAAGGTGCAGATATTAGTGTTGCTGCAACTGATGAAAAAACATAAATAATATTAATTGATTATTTTTATTATCAATTTTTTTGGATTAAATGAGATATCAATGATATTGTCACCGGAATGCGAATTTGACCTTAATTCACTGATCAACGACCCCGAAAATCTGGAGTAATATCATCTATACTATTTTATTATTTATTTATATTTATTTCTTATTTTTAGCTATTTATTTTGGGTCTGGTATGTTTCCCTGACAACTGTTTCCCCGACAGGACATTTCACCGACACCGTTTCACCGACAGGACGTTTCCCCGACAAGACATTTCCCTGACAGGACATTTCTCCGACAAGATTTTGTTAACTATATTTAATATTAATTGGCTAATAAATGGCCTAACTGACTTAAACAGCTTAGTCACCTAATGAATGGGTTAATAGACTTAAATGGTTTGATAAACTTAGCCGGATATGGCATGGCAGGGAAACAAATAAATA